TTTTTTTTAATGGGTAGTTAACGAATTTGTAGCATTTTAAAAGGGCTTTCAAACGTATATAGCCAAAACTTTGGTCATTTCCATTTTGAAGTTAAAATATCTCATGAACTATCAAAAAAATGACTAAATTTATGACCAAAATGTGGTAGTTTATTTAAAGCGTTTTGTCATGAAAAGTCTATGAAAACCTCATGAATTTGGCATTAAAATGTTCGTCTTGAGGAGCTCTTTCTTATGGTATATAATTCAATATCAGTTCATAGTAAAATCAAAATGGGCCAAAACGGTATCTTATGCGCCCCCGTCCTTTGCCTGTGATCCTCCTCAAGGCTAACTTTTGCTACTAGAGTTTTCATATTTTAAAGTAATACCTTAAACGATGCAGAATCTCACGGGCTTTCAGAAAATATTTTTTTGGGTCAGTAGGATCCAGTGTGGTTAGAGAGAAAATACAAGAAAATATGACTATTAGTCAATAGCTATTTTTGCCCGTATATTGACAGTATCAATCAGTAAAATGTGTTGTAGAAAAAAAATTATACATCTTTTGAAACTTCTCAGAACTCAAGCGAATGAGTCAACACAGAGAAAATCGCAAAATACTAGCAGCACCCTAAAAACCTTCATCTTTCGACTGAAGGTCAAGAGTAGTGACACTTGTATCGTTCGCCATTTTTCACAGGTACGTCAGAAAGAGCTGATATTTTGAATTTAGAGGCTTCTAATGATGATCTATCATTTACGCTGATTAAATTTTAATGCGGATAAGCAAAAAGCAAAAAGTACATGTAACGAAAAGTTTTCAAAATTTTTATCGATATGATTCTCTCGTATAATTCATGCTAATTAAATATATTTTTTGTGATTGATAGCTTAGATATTGCTCTTCAAAAATCTATATTTAATATCTATCCACGATTGAATATGACAAAGATAGGAAAAATACAAAAAGGGGGTCGAAACTTATGAAACACCCTTTATTATCGACGTTCCATGTCAGATATGAAATGACAAATTTTTAGCAAGGAACAATATTCGATAGTATATCTAAACAGTATCGTGATGTGCATGAAAAAATGATAAAATCGACCATAGCTTTACAAAAGCAAAGAAATTTCTTATAGAGCTTCATTTTTTCTTTGATACATATCTCACAAAGAAAAAGAAAGACATACACAGAAGCCTATATCGTATGTATTTAATATGTATTAAAAAAATTTTCCGAAAAAAAATCAAAGAATACAACGTCACATAAAATATCGAAGAGTATTATTTCAGTAATAATATTTTACAAAAATGAACCTTTAAGATGAAAAGAAAACAAGTGTTCACATAGATTGATCTTCTTGAGAACATTTGTCTCATACCCTTACTCATTGTATGAATTTAAATTTAGTTAAAAAAAAATTCCTTTCACATCTATCAAATTAAAAGGCTTTTTTTAATAATAACTTATCGTAATCAAACTGAAATTCACCCAGTCTCTAATGAATGCATCATAAGGTGTTGAAGAATGTAAAAAAAGACTAAAAAAATGAAAAAATCTCGACGAGACTCGTATATGAAAAATTCAGATTTTATTACAGTTCTGAAATTTTGCGGATAAGTTCAAATTCGACTGTGTACCGAAAATGTTCTATTACATTGAAATAAATGAGTTCAATAGAAGGAATTTTACGTTTAATATTTGGTCGTTGTGTTGGGTACGTCCTCACTGAACAGTAACGTATAAGTACTTTGACATATGAAATGGCGTTGATATAATATGCTTAGTGGACTTTCTCACGAGGGTGTGGGTATGGGTGTGGGTGGTGTGGGTGTGGGTGTGGCTGTAGTTGCAGATCTAGATGAAGAAAAGATAAACACACCCGCGCACCAGACCCACACCCAGACCCACACACCCACGCCCACACCCACCCACCCTTGTCCAAAAGGTTTCGATGCACCTGTTGATTGAAATGTTCCTTTTTTGAAAATAGAAAATGACGATGAAGATAAATGGTTAACTGGCAGTGATCATTTTATTCACATAACAAATAATATAAGTGAACGTGCGAAAGATTATAATCGTCGAATGAAATCAAGTACAAAACTATATCGTTTTCCATTAGCATATGCAAGTTATATGCATTCGGCATCAATTAGTGAAGATTATTTGATTCTTACGGATGTTCCATTGCATTTTAATACATTTTATGCTATGTGGAATATAATTAGTTGTGGCGCAGTAACTGATATGTTTAAATGGAATAGTGAAACAATGCCAACTTATTTTCGTGTTATTAGTTTAGATACAGGTGAACAAATAGCACATATTGCTGGTCCAGTATTTTTTACATTTCATCATATTAATTCTTATCAGATTAATGATAATAAAAAGAAAATCATTGTCGATATTTGTGCTTTTGATGATCCAAGAATTATTAATGAACTGTTTTTGGATAAATTACGCGAAAATATATTTCCTTCAGGTGCCTGCTATGTTCGAAGATTTGAATTAGACTTAGATGCAAATACATGTATTGAACCAAATGCGAATGCACGAGAACCATAAGGAAGTCATCGTTATAGTTATGCACATAGTCTTGTTCCAATTCAATTTGAATTGCCACGCATTAATCCAAAATTTATTGGTAAACCATATCGATATACATATGCTATACGTGCACCACCTGGTCGATTGCTCGATTCATTAATTAAATTAGATGCTCAATCAAAAGAACAAGTAGGTTTATGGAAAGAAGAATGTAAATCACCAAGTGAACCTATTTTTGTTCCAAGACCTGATGCTAATTATGATCAAGAAGATGATGGAGTTGTTTTATTGGTAGTTTTAGATCAACAAGCTAAACAATCATTTCTACTTGTACTTGATGGCATTACATTTAAAGAACTTGCTCGTGCTCATCTTCCCATATATATTCCTTTATCATTTCATAGCAACTTTTATTAAATTTTTACATTACTTTTATTACCTATGCTCATCTATTAGATGTTTAGAATACATATTTGACTTCTTTTTGCCGTAAAAATAACAGTAAACAAATAAATATTTCTAAAGCATAAAATTACTTTATGGAAGAATTCTTTATTAATGGATGATCCAAGACCACCAATGGAACGGTAAAAAGACCAGTCGTGACTATAGTTGTGTCGAGTCTTTTTCTCAAAAAGTCCTAGTACAGGACTAGTCTAAAATCATTTAGAATCTTTAGATGCCATCTTGACTACGTAACTGACTGGCATCTTTGTATTTGCTATGTTCAGTCTTTTTTTGCGAAAAAGACTAGGCATGTTGCTCTCTCCGGACATCGGTTCAGACTAGTCTAAATAATGGAAATATTATAAAGCAGACCGTTAGATTCGAACATCCATACAATATATAACTTACTCATCCTTTAATCGATTTATAAGATCAAGTGTGGGTGTACGTGTGGGTGTGACTGTTGAGACGAAGCACATCCACACCCCATTCAATGTTCTATTCAAGCAGTTTTGAAATAGATTGACAAAAATTTGAAACGAAAGGTTTTCCGTTGAATTCTTTAGTAAGATCTCTGTTGTTCAATGTTCGATACTTATTAGTGCTATGCGATCATCTTAAGTAGAAAAATGTATAGCAGTACTAGATCAATTGATCGTCTTTAAATAAGAATGTGATGATAATGAACAAGTTCTGTGATATGTTTTGGATAATTTCTGAAATATGAAAAAGGACTATGTTTTCGTCTTCGCATTCTAATTAACATCAAAAGAAATATTTTTGTCGCTGATTTCGTTAAAATATATGTTGTCTTCATTTTAAAACACACGGTAATTATGCTATTTGTATAGAAACTTGTTATCTTTGTTTCTCTGAAATACAACAGCAATGGCACGGACATTTCTAGGTTTTTCATTTACCATATGAGGCCTTTTTATGAGAAAAATAAGAGCTTGAACGGAAATTATCAGTTGAGTGTATTTCCTCGTTAGACATGTTTCTTATTGTTTTCGAGCTCGGATGTCATAACTGATGGGTTTTCTAGTTATCTTATTTATGTTTTAGTATATTTCGACTTTTGTCTAGCATTTGGCACAAATACCTATCACTTCTAAGTGAAGATGTCTGTTATAGTAATTTTGTAAAGATTTTTTTCTATAGAACAAAATATTACGAGCTTAGTAATGAATTGCCATAAGGAATCGATAAAATGAGTTGTAAGAAAATAATCAAATTTATCAGACAATGTAGAAGATGCTTATGTTGCCTGATAAAATCAAAATTAGTGATTTGATCAGATAAAAATTCATGCATCGTTAAAACATAATATTGACAATGAATTTCTCTAATAGGGATATATTTATTTAAAATAAGAATTACATATCCCGATGTCTTAAATGACGGATGATGCTTCTGATCAGATCCGAAAGAGCATTTCGGAATGTACTACCGCCGCATAATGTAAAAATATAAAATGGTGTTCCGCTCGATGCATAATTGAAAAGAATAACAAGATTGAAAATCAAATTCTCAACAGCTATTTTTAGTGGAGACTTGTCTTCACGCAATGTTAAAGTTGAATAAAGTCTTTGAATAGCAACAGGTAGAGTGAGTATAGTCAATACAGTTACTTGAATCAATAGCATTTGGCGTAAACGACGACCAATCATTTTCATTCGCGTTGAATGATAATGATTATATCTTGTTATTGGCTCAACAGAAATCGTTAATGATGCAACAGCTATAGGATGTATCCGATGGTGTCGAGCTTGATGAACATTTCTGATAGTCAATAAACCAAATACGATCATAAAAAATAATGGCAATGTGTAGATGATCAACGCAAAAGTCAAATCTGTAATAAGACGACATGTTTCTGTTTTTGAATAACATTTTAAAGGAGTTTCAAGGAGATTTGCTTCGTAGCAGTATAAGAGATCAATATTGATGAGCATTGATACGAATAAAATTATGAACATGCCTCGACGAGCATTTTTCAATGTACTTATCTGTCGATAATGCACATTACACGACGATAAAAGCCATCGATCAACTGTAGCCAACATAATAACCCACATAAAGAATGCTCTGGTGATCCAAAGGATGAAAACACGAACTTTACAAAGCCATCCAACTGTATTAGTGAGATCAGCCGCCCATCCAGACAAGATTCGAGTGGTTAGACCACTGACAGTCCCAATAATATTTGCTATTGATGAAGCAAGAAAAAGCGAAGCACATGGGTTCGGTCGAAGGCTTCGATGTAAAAAGACGAAAATATTGAGAATATTACCAGGAATACCGAAAACAAAAATTAATATCGAAAAATAACGATTGATTTGAATCGATATATCGTTTAATATTTTGATCAAATTATCATCATGAGAAAAGGATGACATTCTCTCTTCAATGAAGATATGAGTGACAAATGCAAAAAGAACTTTTTTGATTAAATTTTTTGATGAAACGACAAGACGGATTATTATTGACACCCACTGTTATTTCAAAAGAGTAACTGCTATCTTAATGAGAACTTGCAAGAATTTCTTACTGTACAAAGAAAACAAAATGAAGAACTATTGTATTCATTTCTGAGAGATCATTAGTACTAATGATCTCTATTAACTCAGCAAGCTAAACAGGATTCTAACATACCCTTCTATCTAGCAGTGACTTCGTGACAAAAATTTAATTGTATCTAATCATATTTTCTTTGTAAATTGCCATAGAAAAAAACAAATATTTTTCGTTATTTCTTTTTCTATAGAACTTTTAAAAAAGTACATACAGGAAAAACGTTGATATTCGTCTCAATCTCTATTTTGTGGATGACAGAATAATGCAGATAAGTTGATGTGTATAGAGTCTCTTATGAAGGAATATTCTATCAACAGTGAGAATGTTCTAGAATAGTGATTAACAACTTTTCCACGTGAAAATTATTCCTCTCAATAACGTAAACTTGTTTTTTACGAGCAAGAACAGAAAAATAATAAACACTTCAAAAAGTATCGGAATCATCATCTGTTTCTATATGTTTGTCAGTTTGTGATATCAAAAGAAAAGATGTATTGCAAATTAGAATATACTTTACTAGAAATTGAAAATCATATTTCAGAAAAATTCATACATATTCATGACGTAGTCCAATGAGTAAAGACCTATGGGTACAAGTGATGCGTCATCCTCATAATTATCCAAGGATGATACAAGTAGATTTCAATGGTTTTTCGAAAACAACTCCAACTTAAACACCAACATGGACAATCTTGTCAGTACGAATTTTGCTAACAGCTTGACATTTAAAAGCTTATTATAACACTAATTCTAAGTCATACAATGCTCCTTTAAAAGGTTATAGATTTGCAGTTTTGGAACAGAAAAGACAACTTTATGAAGATCAATTTCTCAGTTGTCCTTACGATTTCTGAGACATCTGCAGGATGTTCTGAAAATCATTTACTAAAAAGAAAACCAAATATCTCTAGCCCATCACAACAGAGAGAACTCATTTTTTGCCTAATGATAGAGGCATGCTCTAAGGTTTTCTTCTTTTGAATGGAGTTCACAAACAATGTTCAAAAGTATAACTGTGGGTGAAGATACAAAAATTCAGAGTTTCTCGATTTTCACAGAAAATGTTTGAGTTTTTAAACGAAGGTGTGGATGTGGGTGGGTGTGAGTTTGGGTGTGAATGTCTTCTGTTTACGCATCTACACACGCACACCCACACCCATGCCCACACCTACACACTATTTTTTCCATCAAATTGAAGTTTGACGTATTACACTATACTCTATTCGATATTTCAGTTTTGGTACAGAAATATTCAACGCTGATCGATTGAAGCAATTAATTTCAACTTATATGCCAAATTCATATATGTACGAATCATTTCTTGACAACTGACGAAATGTAGTTCTTTTGTAGCATACATTACACAGTATTACTGTGAGAAAGTAATAAAAATAATGACGCGAAACGGTCACAAATAATGCTAAAAAATGGTTTGTGTCATAAGCATCATTTTGTAAATTTTTAAGTCATTTTCTTTGTTCACAAATAATTATTTTAATGCATTACATGAAAAAAAAATGTTGACATTATTTGTGACCATTTCGCATCATTATTTTTATTAAATTTGAAGGCATTTTATCAATTTTCCCTAAAGAGAATATCATTCACAGAAAAATGTATTTGAACGAGCGCTACCTATCAAAACTTGTTCCACAATTCGTTCGTCCGCTATGACCAATGAAGTATATATATATAATTCTAGTCTACTAGTGTGTTCTTATTTATCACTTCAGGTGTTTTTCTCTGAGATTAGTGTCGTTTTCTTAACTAAGCAATGTACATGATTGATTGGTTGATATGAAGTTTCGTCTAACTTGTAGAAATATCCAATTTTTATGTGTCGATTTTCTGGAGTATGAACCACATAATTGATCTTGGAGTAGCGAAGTGAAACACACTTGAGTAGAATTCATTTCGATCATGTCTAAGTTGGCTTCAAAACAAAAATTTTCTCATGTTACAAACAACGATAGAAGGCATCTTCTTGTCATAGCTGTCAGCAATGATAGATTTCATTTCGTTCTTTCTCTGTTCTCCTCTGGTTCTTTCGTTCTGTACAATTTCTCACCAAGTTTATCATACATTCTTATGAATTTCCTCTCTCTCTCGCTTCGTGTCTATTGTTTGATATATTCTTGACTTTTTACGATGTGAGAAAGAGACACTCGATGAATTGTTTGCATGAAAATAGGTTGTTGGGAATAAAAGATTACAATTCTATCGTTGAAAATCAACAGTTTGCGTTTTAGACATTCATGGAGAATTCTTCAAGAAAAAAAACAAATTTTTCTCATATTTTCTAGATACTTCACATTAACAATAGAAAATGAATTCATCATTTGAATCTCTTTCTACTCAACTATTATTTGAATTCTTTGATTATTTATCCCCATTCGATTTATTTCGAATTTTCATCAATCTCAATAGTCGTTTAAATGTCATTGTTCATTCATATCCACTTCGATTGGATTTTCGACCAATCTGTCGATCAAAATTCGATTTTATTGATCGTTATCTTCAACCAAAACAAGTTATTTCATTGATTCTTTGCGATGAACGTGTTCCTGATCGAGTGAAACTTTTCCTCGATCATTTTCCACATTTTAAAGAATAATTTATTCACCTTCAGTCTGTAGCATTGATCGAAGCTGAAACTATTACTTTCATCGATTTATCCTTATCGGTTTCATCGCTATCAATCAGAAGTTATGATGTTAATGATTATTACCCAAATTACATTAATGAAATATTGTCTCGACAAGCGAAAGTGTTAACTCATTTAAAAAACGATAGTAAAGATTTACAGCATCTTATTGATTTTCGTTTTCCAGCTCTTAAGTATTTGATTATTGGTGGAGGGTGTTATTATGACGGTAAATATATCGATGTGTCTTCTCCATTGGAGAATATCGATGTTCATTCATTAATTCAACAATGGCAATGTTTTCACACTCATCTTTATCTTGTTATCGATAATAAAAGTCAATATTCGACATTTAATCTTGATTGATTTTCTCATTGTCTCATTCATCTTACATTACACTTTCACCAAGGTAAAGAAAACTAATGAAAAATTGATTTTCATTTTCGTTCTGATATTATAGGTATTCAAGTATCATTTGCATGTCTTGAACGATGTCTGATTAAATTATCTCAATTAACAAATTTCACTTGTCAAGCAAGTGGGCCATGGAATTTAATCGATGGAAATCGATGGGAACAATTACTTTTGAAAACACGAATTGTTCAATTTAATTTTAAATTCAAATTTAATCTCACTTTGGAAATTTCATCAATACTGGAACCATTTCGTTCATCATTTTGGCTTGAACAATGACATTGGTATGTCGGATGTTATGAAGATGAATCAGAGAGAGGCCCAATTGTCTATTCAATACCTCGATTTCGAATATGTATGCTTAAGTATCCTTCAGCTAAATTTCCACACATGATAACAGTACCATCGAATATTGCACAAAATTTTTTCTATTCAAAGAGAATCAATTATTTCTCTTGTGATATGAATAAATTAATTACACCAATCGGTTATTGTTTTAATCAAGTTAAATCGCTGACACTTTCGGGTTCATCATTATTATCATTAAATATTCTATCATCGATTGTTAATCTTCAGCAAGTTCAATATCTCGATGTGACCAATATTCATCTCTTGTTACCTGATGAACTTGAAAATCTGATTGCTCATACTCCTCGTGTCACTAGTTTATCAATGAAATTCGATCCATTATTTATTATGCCTTCACAAACTCGTTATCTTCTATTGGAAGGTCTTGGTCAATCGATTTCTCTTGATAGACTTTCTTATACAATATCATCCGTTGAAAGGCTAGAGATATCCATGACATCAAAACAAATGATTATTGATGTTATTGATCGATTCAATGGTCTGGAAAATCTTGATATATTCTTTGATGATGATGATCTTGATGATGATTGTATGACTATTAATAAAGGTGTATCAATTGATTGGTTAGTGGAACATACGCATTGTCTCAAGTCACATGATTTTACCTGTCGATATTCCAGAGATTTCTACCCATCAATTTACTTGTCGTTTGGCGACCGACGAAAAAAAAATGACAATCAAGATTAAGAGCATCATTCCTATGATATGTTTTTCTTTTTTTTTGTCTACGAAAAATTAGAGAAGAAAATAAATTTTCATTTAGATCCTTGAATATGTAACTTAAAAATGATCCTACTCAAGGTGAAATTATATATAAGATAATTGAAAAATGACCCAACCTCATTAGACTAAACTCATGAAACCGAAACAGTTTAGGTTTGATGTATACCTAGGACTTAATCGCATCGAGAAAAGCAATTGTTTATCTGAAACTTCGACTCTTCTCATCGAACAAAAATTACTGAGTGAAAACTTACAATACAAAACACCTCCATTGTAAGAGACAAAAAAAATAACACTAAATGATAGCATGTATTGTCATTATGTTGACGAATATTTTCGAATGCTAAAAGCACACAATTAAATCATTTAGTGAATATGTACAAAATGTAATAGTATTAGTTTTCTTGTTTATTGAAAAGTGACAAACAAACATTTTAGAACGAAACACTTCATTGACAATGAATTTTACCACCAAAAATACACATTATCATCGTATATATCACGTTTTATTCTCGTTAAGTAGACATCGAACAATTTCTTTAATAGACTAAAGTTCTTCAGTGTATCGAGTTCTTTGTCAGACATATTTTTGATAGACAATGAAAATAAATTATGTGTAATATAATTATCTTTCGAGAATAAAAATAATAAAATCGGTATAAGATTATTATTGGAAATTTCCATTGTAAGACATTCTAATCGAGAACATAAATTAATAAAACAAATCTGTTATTTTCAATGTACAATCCAGCACAATAATAATTTCTTTAATATTATTTGTGTCGAATACTTAAGTGAAACAATCAATTTTCGAAGGTATGAATATTAGGTGATAAAAGTAATAATTCAATTATTCGACAAAACGATTAGGGTATATATAAATGACTAATTTAATAAGTTGTTTCAATGGAATAATATTACTAAAACTGGTTAAGAGAAAGTTTCGTTTTTATTTTTGAAGAAAATATGAGATAGAAAGTTGAGTAGCATTTGAAAAATAATATCTACAATTAATTATCTCTTCTTGCTGTTGAATTTCAATAAACTGAATTGAATTAATATTATATTTTCGACGAAATGAATAATTTCTCATGACTCTTACATTATAAATTGTGTAATATTTTCTTCTAAAAATTAAAGAAAACAAATTTAAGCAAACAAATCTTATTATTTGTATCTGTATGGATTTATTGAATAAAGAATAAAACGATCAAATAAATCCCAATAAATTTGATATTCAAAAAACCATCCTTGTTCAAACCAAAATTGAGACTGTAATCAATTGTTTAGATAGGTATGTTCGAAAATATCTTCGTTCAACGCTAAAGTATAGAAAATCTTAATATCAAAGATGATTCAAGTGATTTGAATATTATTCTTAGTATTTTTTAGAAAATTGATTTGAAAGATGAATTGATAAACGATAAGGTTGAGAAATATACGATAAAAGACCATGCAATTCATCGAGTCGCAATAGGTAGTGAAATAAGATTAACAAGTTCATTCAATGATAGTTTACAATATTTTTATTCGGGCAAACGAAATATTTGACGATAAATAACGCTTTTATTTTCAACATTATCTATATAATCGCAAGTGATCATCCGATAGGCATTTCGACACATCGATTTGAGGTTGTCGTGGGCATTGAAATTTAAAACAGAACGCTCAGATTCTCAGGATGTGGGTGTAAATGTTTTCTTCTTTACATTCATACCTACACTTATTTTTTTCTTCAATAAATTTCGATCATCAATGAATAGCTGCCTGAGGGTATGTTGATATCGACATTCAAGAACGAGAGAGATTGCTCTGTGGTAAACCAAATTACATCGTAATATTTGACCAAACATAATTTTCTAATTCTAAAATGCGTGAAACACTGACGGAGAATCACTTTCTGCATTAACTAATCAACTGTTATGTGCGGTATAAGCCAGAGATCAAAACTGAATCAAATCCGAATCCATTCTATGAATTCGGTTTCCTAGAGATCTGCTTGTCTAATGTCAAGCGCTAGCAGGAAAGTTCATTGTAATATCGGCCTTAGATTCTCTATTTATTTCTCAAATGTAAAATATTCATCGTTTGCATTATCAGAAGTCTAATATTTTGACTCTATTATTCTATTTTTTTCGAAAAAATTACTTTTCTATTTTTTTTCATATGCTTTTCGTTTTTTTTGAAAGGGCAAGAATAGAACAAACGACAGTATGTAAAATAATAGATTCGGTTTTCATTTGTCAATTAGAGTTGGCTGATTTCTGTAAAACATCGCGAGCTACTACGGGCACTTGTTGTTCACTCATATTCACTTTGAATTTCATGCGAGTGTCATCTTCTTCCTTTACATCTAGACCGAAAACTTTTGACACTTCGAATTCCTCACAGTAGTCATCTAAAGAGCTATGGATTCGATTTTTCCCCAAACGGTGGCATGTTTTCTTTGACCTAAGTGAAACCATAGTTTGCGTTTTTATTCTTGTCCTCTTTCTTCAAATGTGGATGATAATATCACACTCATTTGTCTTCTATGTAGTTTCAAAGGTACAGAGATTTCATGAATGTTCTCATTTTTCGCTTTTCTTGTGATTCCACTTTTTATCAAAGTTTCAAAAGAGTGAGAATATTTAGAAATGTAATTCATGCTAATAAGTAGTCGAAGATCTAATTTTTGTTGAGCCAGATTTAACTTGACATTGACTATCAAGACTTTGTAATTCTTTACCGAAAGAGAACCTAAAGTATCTCCGAGATCGGAACTGGTCGCGTACATTTCAATAATAGACGTAAAAGTTATATTTGTTTTAGTTTCTGCTTCACGCTTCAAATCTCTTCTCAGAAGTGATAAAGGATGGTCTAAAAGTTTCGACCCCTCTCAATAAATCGATGATATGTATAACACACTTATATGAAATTATTGATCAAATTATGTCATTTTGTAGCGGAAGATTAGAGCAATCATCTGCAAAAAGATAGTTCCAAATACATAAATCTATTGTAATCTTATGGTCATTTTACCAATCATAAGTGAAAACTTTTACGTTACATTTTTTGTAAAAAGAAAATATGCTGACAACATCTTAAGCGACAGTTTGTTTTCTAGATATTTTTACATGATTCGATAAAGATCGAAAAGCTCTACCAGAATATAAACGTTTAAAAAACATTTGAGCTTATTTTCAATGCAAAACTTGCAGAAAACCAGAAAGACTAATAAAAATTTCATGCATCAAATATTAAAGAGAGTAAGTTGATCTTTCAAAAATTTTAGCTGATTGACTGTTCCATCTATTCAGGCAGTTCAGAAGAGTTATTTTCAGCTTCAGTATGTGACGTTGTATTTGAAACATCAATTAACAGTCTATCAACTAAAGTTTTTGAAATCTAACCATACTATTTCATGAAACATATGTAGGATTTTTATTAGTCTACGTGGTTTTTTTCGAGTTTTGTATTGGTAACAGGATTCGAATTTTTGTTGATATTCATATTCTTGTGGATCTTGTTGAACTCTATGGAACCGTATAAAAATATCTATTAAAAACATGTAGAAAATAATATTTGATTCGACTTTTATGGCTGAAACATTGAAGAGGTTTTGCTTTTTTCAAAAAAATGTAGCGTGAAAAATTTTCACTTATGATAAGTAAAATGAACATAAGATTGTAATACATTTATGTATTTCGAACTGGTTTTTTCAGATGATAGTTCTAGTCTCCCTCTACAAAACGACATAATTTGATTAATAACTTCATATAGGTTTGTAATAAATATCATCGATTTTCTGAGAGGGGTCGAAAGTCTTGGACCACTCTTTATTATATTGCCCTTGATAATTGAATATTGAAAACTAATATATCTATTTGAATACTTTTTAAAGAGCGATAAGGCATTTGGTATAAATTATAATAAATAATTGTTGCTTGAAAAGGAAGTTATGGTAATATAGATCAGTTGATTTTACTTTTGTTATTCTGTTGATAATCCGAGAGTGATTGTGCCATTTTATTTTATGGATAGCCTACGTCGGGTTTGTTTCATAAAAATTAGGTACTAGATTTTGTGTAATAAAATACGTCTTGTTCACGTTCTCTAAACATAAACTGAAACCGAAGAAATGACAAAAACAAGTTGACTCGGTACTGTTACGAAATGATTCAGACTCGACTCGAGACCAGCCCTGATGCAAACTTTTACAAGCAATAGCTTGGTAAAATGCAAACTAGACATTCAGTGCACAACATTCTCTATAGAAGTTATAGTATGATATAAGGAGAAATCGTGTGAATGGTTTGTAAAATGACTTAGCTTTCATTTTATTGTAGTAAATTAAGAGGATAAACACTCAAAGGGATGGTATTCAATCATTCCAGTCGTCATAATATGTAGTAGTTTAGCTATTTTATAATTTCGATTGAGTATTATTATTATTATTCATGACTAAAAGATTGTTTTTTCTTATACCGTCAACAGTTTGACATCCACATAACATCATAGCCAATCGAAATTCTTTTTTCAATATATTCAACACATTTTTTATACCTTGCATTCCATCTTCTGCCAAACCCCATAATACTGGCCGTCCGATAAGCACTGCTTTTACACTCAATGCCACAGTTTTCAAAATATCTGTTCCTCGTCATACACCCCCATCGATATGAACATCGATTTGATGAACTTCACTACTAATAGCATTCATGATATCTGGTAAAGCATCAATGGTACTTTGACATGTATCCAATTGTCGACCACCATGATTCGAAACGATAATTCCTTCTACGCCATGTTTAACAGCTTCACGGGCATCATCTGAATGCATAATATCTTTGATAA